GCGCTCCTTGTGTGGGCCTCAGGCGCACAGTGGTCGTTTAGGCCGCATATCCGTGCAACCCGATGTATGTTGGGCATTTGTTCGACAGAAATCTACATTGGACGAGAAAGTTCACATTATGGACTTCTACAAAGTTGTCCAAGAGTGCTCTCACCTAGGTGATTCGCACATTTACGCTGAATGCGATGGTTTCAACAAAAAGACCATTCATATACAGGTAATTGTTCTTTTGTGCAGTTAACTGCCGTATTTCTGCCTTCTTAAAAGTGGTGCTCCCGACTTTATAGGGAAGGCTCATAGGCTTAAATTCTTTGGGACACTTTGGTGAATTGAAACAACTGCGTGATCGGGTCAGATAGCTTGTGTGCCATTGTGGACCTTGACCTGATTCCGCTTCAGTGTATCCGTGAAAAACACCATGTAACAGTTAAGTTGATCGTCCACCTGAAATACCCCTAGGCCCAACATACAGTTTTAGGGAACCGGTGGTATTAGTTTGGTTTATTTAAGGCTTTATTATTTAGTTGATCAGTCTATTTTTAGTTTTATTTTAGCCTTAATATATATATAATAGTTATTAAAGTATGTTTATCTAACATTGGCGGTAAAACAAAAACGAAACGAAACCTAAAATTAAATTAATGATCTAAATAATAAACAAAAAACTAAGCTAAAACTAATGAAACTAAAAATGACCATAGGACTAGGAGCTAGAGTTATCTAAGTTGGGCGAACAACTTAACTGTTACCAAACACTAACCACTACCACTGAGAATAATAAAAAAATACTATAGAACAGGTGCCTTAGAGTACAACAGGGGAGGTTGCCTACTATCATGAAGCGCATAGTAAGTCTAAGAAATTGATATTCATTTATAGGTTAACGATAGGATTTTTCAATTTGCTCAACACGTTAGCACTGGTTGTTGTGTCATCGATACATTTTTTTCAGAACGTAAACGTGCATGGCTTCCCTCAAAATCATTTGTCATGGGTGAGTCCGAGGTAAGAAGAATATTACATCACCAGTATAAGACACTAAATACCGCAATGGCAGAAGTTACCGTCAGTTTTTTCAGTCAGACCTTTGAGCACTTCTGTCTAATTAACAAGCATACGAAGAAACTGAAAAATATTTATTGATTTCCGGAAGTAAACGCGATGCAGTTACTTCCGTTTTGGGGCTCCATATGACGTAAATATGGTGTAGTCCTTAGCTGCACAGCCTGGGAGACGGAGTGAGGTTCTGCTCCGATTATCGTCCGCAGGTCTCCTTAACTAAGCCCCAGACAGGTAGATCCGGTGGACCAACTCGTGGCGAGGACAAGCGTCGTGCCAATTGTGGCCAAAACCAGCGAAATTTCGACCTGAGTGGCAAAAATATAGAGTCCGAGTCCAACAAAAGCAACTATAGCCGCACCTGTGATAAGAAAGGTGTTCAGGAAGTTGCTTAACTCAGCCCCTCGGCCAAATATGGAGCGACAGAGATGCACCACAATGGGTATCAGAAGGAGACAACCCGAACCGAGGAAACAGAATCCAATAAAGACGGAATTCCTGCCAAGCGTTGACTGGCAGGTATTAAACAGTGCACCACAAGTCCACCTGGGCAGGAGGGAAGCGACGATGAGACAAAAAGCTGCGACTATCGGATAGCTAACTTCGCACACGATTTTGCACCCCATTGTTTCGCACAGTTCTGGTGGTGCCTTGAATTAGCCGAAATAGTTCTCTCGAATTGTGGCGCTGAATCAATTATCGATCGGAGTTGCACGTGTGCCTCAAAAAATGCACATGGCGGACCCACTCACGACAACCTCCGATCTCCTAGCCTATCACAGCTACTGCAGGCGTAGACCATTTGCGCAAAAAAGCTTCGTCAGCTAGCGAGTCTTCCTTTTTGCTGGAGGTAAATGGACATTAAAAGTCCGGTTCCAGCAGCTAGTTTCGCATCCAGTAGAAACTTGGGTACATTTGACTCCTATGGCTGCCCAAATAGAACACGGGACAAATAAGGCACCGTCCACTTAAAAAAACATAGTCTGGCGAGCAGTTTCGGGCAGGGTAACTATTCCCATAACTTAAGCCTAACACTAGCTTTAACATAAAACTAACCTGTAACCTTTATGTTAACCCTAGCCCCACCCTTAACCTCAACCCTACAGTTACCACGGGCCCAAACCTCAACGCTTAACATAATCCAGACCTTATCTTTAACCCTGACCTTAATCCAAACTTTAAACATAACTCTAACCTTAACCCAAAACCTCACCTTAATCATAAAACAGATTTCGCTGGAATTTACCGCAAGGCCGCATACATTGTGGGCGGTTCCTGTTCCCGTGTCCTGTCTAGGTGGCCACACAAACCATCCTTATCAAGGTCTGCTGTTCAGACTTTTTAAGATCTTTATTTGGTAAATACACAGGGGGAATGACTTTCTCCGATAGACTTTGATCACTGAATGGAACATGAGCGGTCTTGGCCTGTAATTAAAATAGATCGGTAAACACCTTTGCTGTACGTATTTACCAAAAATCTATCTTACCTATCTATCAAACTTCTCTACTAAGCAAAGCTATCACCAATTTGTTTGCGTAAACTCGAGACGTAGGAGACTACAAATTATCCTCACAATTAATCAACCTTTATCGGATAGGCTCGTGGGATGCAAGTAAAACTGCCCAATGAGCCATTTTTAATTAAATATTTTGTTCTATAGCCGCTCTCTTCAATTTTTGAGACTTGTTAAATGGATGACTGCACGTTCAATACTGGTTTTCGAATGATGACTGCAATCGGAAACGTTAACATTGAGATTGCCGTGGTGTTTTCTCGTCGGAACTTCCTAATCCATGAAGGAAGTCATCCACCGAAATAAACAAAACAGCGATAAAACCATCAGGGCTTATGGGGTGATTAAACCAATCAGCCAC